TGGACCAAATGTATTTGTAGGAGTAAAACACAGAGATAAGTGAATATGTTTAGTGCACTTACGTATAATACAAGGAGGGAGGGGAAGACTAAGAGGAAGAAACCCTTCAAGGAGAAGCAAGAGATTTTGATGTGGAATGAGATGGAGAAGATGGTGAGGGAATTAAAGGACATTCGTGTGGGTGCCAAGCGACAAGCTTAAGTGTGTAGTCAGATAAAAGTGGAAGGCCTCCAGAGTTTACTTTGATGATCAAAGGATGCAGGAATCAAAGGTAGGCTAGGGCCAGACTATGGAAGACCCTGAATGTTGGACTCAGGATTTGAGCTTGCTCAGCTGAGTGATGAGAACCACAGATGATTATGAGCAAGGAATGACAAAATTTAGAGGCACGTGTAGGAGAGAGGAGGAACTGGAGAGAGCAACAGTGACGAGGAAGTAGTTGCACAAGTCCAGTTAATGAACTATTTCTAGAAGTAGGATCATGGCAGGGGGAATGGAAAGAAAGACAGGGATAGCTGTGCGACCTTTAAGTATGTCTGACTGACAGAAGGGGAACAGTCTCCCTGCATTAGAGCCACTCTAAACCTGCTAAGTGTTGCCTGTTGTCAGAAGGGAACACTGAGTACTGAAGGAGGTATAATTTAACTCTCCCAGTGGCTAGGGAAGGGGGTCTTTTAGGCCTTGCAGAACTCTCTATCCACCTTAAAAGCATGCCTTTCCATGAGAAGAGGAAAAGCAGTGACAACTGTGTCCTACCCTGTCCTCACTGGAACTACCTACTGTGAAAACTGCTTCCACAAGAGGAGAAAAAAAGGTCAAATTAGAAAGTTATCACTTATAACATTTCATACTGCATTCATGTGGAACAATTTATGCTTTGCCAAGCCCTTTTCTACTTATTTTTTCATTTTCCCTAAAGCAGCCCTTGAGGTATGAAGGAGGAGAACTACTGGCCCAATTTTTGAGAGGAGGGATTTGATACTTGCAAAAGAGTTCCCAGGACCAACATTTCCTGGCTCACCTGATGAGACTCTTAGCACACACCTTGCAATCCTCTTGCTATTTTGCTCAGTTAAAGGCAAGTGGGCTGCATTTTATAGAGTTTAAAACAGACACTAGTTGGATAAGATATGGGTGCTGTAGAAAATCAGCCCGGGAGTGGATAAAGGCTGCCCAGAAAATGTCCTCCAGCAAACGAAACAAAATCCAGAGCCCAGCTGGGAATTCCATTGCTGCTTTGGGTTTGGGGACTGTTTATTTTTATTTCTTGGCTCAAACCTTTCATTCCTGTCCTTGTCTCTTCTTATCTCCTCCCTTCCTCCCTCTCCCTCCCTCTCCACATCCTGGTGGCCACAGTCCTATTCGCCATACGTACATACGGCCCAGCATTTCATACCACTACCTAAAAAGTCTTTCAGTAGTAGCTTTGTCTCCTGCAGGTGGCACACTGTAAAATTGATACCAAAGGAACATATATCATGATCAGTCTTTGATTCATTTAGTCTCTATGTTAAAGACCCAGAAAGAAAATAACCACAATTCACAGGGAAAAAACAAAAACAAAAAATCCCCCCAAAAACGAATACAAAGTGGGAGACTCTTTCAAGTGGCATTTTCCAGCCCGGCTTTTGTGGTGGGCTTATGTAATCAGACGTAATTGTCTACACATGTTTGGTTACACTGCTTCAGAAATGACTTCCAGCCCACCTGATGACATCAGAGGGGTCAATGAGGAGCCTCTAGAGTCTGAGTGCTGTTCTTCTCTGTGAGGCTCAGTTAGGAAAGAAAGACGCCAAGGAGCAGAATTGGCAGACCCATTTCCTTCTGGACTTTCTTCACTTATTGTCCCTATGCCTGTATTCTAGTCCTCACATGCCTGCATTTTACTTATGCATGCACACAACAAAGCTTTCTCTGGAAAAGTCTGTTTTATATCCCCAAAGACTTAGGAAATGCATAAGCACATATGTGCTTCACGCCACGCCCCAGACAGACTTCAGTCCTTTGGTATCCATTTTAAGAATACGCTTCTTCACCAAGATATTTTGTGTTCTTCTAGGCAGGCGTGCAGGCAAGCCAGCCACTGATGTGGTAATAATAATTAGCATTGTCAGCTTAAGCACAAGATGGGAAGAGTTCTCTTTTCTGGAAATCCTTTCTAGAAGGTGACGTATGTTTAACAGGGCTGCCTCTATGATCTAGCTTTCTTTCTCATAGAAGGACTTAACAAACACTACAGAAATGCAGAGGCAGGACATAAAGAACTCCTGATCATAAGTGGCCTTCAAAGTCATCAAGACAATTGCACCCTGGCGACTGACTCCTTTCTACGAGGTCCACACCGAGTCATTAGCCAAACCATTTTTGAACTGTCTAACGATGCAGAGTTCTTGACTGAATGCAGCTAATTCCATTTCTGGAAAGAACTCTAAAGAATGGTCCATCAAAAGTTCAACTGACGTCCTTTCTGCTCTGTGATGTGATCCTACCTCGTTTAGATCATTACTGACGAATCTATTCCCTCTGTCAGATGGCAGCTTGTCTAAAGCTATTATGTACCACCTACATCTTCTCATTTAAGGAGCAGTAGTTCTATATTTTTTCAACCAACCATTCCTCATATGATGAAAGAGCTGGTGTTCTCTTGACTCCTTCCATACTAGCCATGATCGAGCATGATTTGAGTAATGCAGAATGAAAAGGTTCTTTCCTTCATGTGGACGTTTTGCCTCAATTAGCATAGGCTATGGGAACATTAATAAATCATCCCTACCGTGCCTTCTTTCTAGCCCCAATTTACTTTGGTCATAATATGTAGAAAACAATAAAAATGATTTGTATCAACCAACCACAGCTTTCTTCATTAGTTTTGAGCCAACAGCTCTCCTGGAGCCTTTTGTGACCTCTAAACACTCAGGAAATCACCCCTGTTCTAAAGAAAAGCCTCCTTTTCCAGGCTGCCCTCTTGCCCAGCTTGCTGTCACCGCTGCTGAGATAGCAGACGATTGATCTGAGAAATCAAGTTGGATTGCTGTCCCGAATCTACACTCGGGTCTCCTTGTGTCTGTCTGATCGATTTCACTCTGCGACATAGCTTGTCGCTATGAATTTTCATGCTAGTCAGGAGCCGCCAGTGCACCCAATAACAAGTGGGAGATGGTCTGCACCCCTCCCCATGCCTTCAATATACCCAGCTTCTGTGTCAAAAAATTTTTTTCAAATCATCTATTGCCAGATTGGAAAAAAGATTTGTTTGCTGCTTCTTTCTTTCTCTCCTTTTTTTTTTTTTTTTTTAAGGCCACGGGCCTGGATGCGGTGGATTTGGCCACTGGTTTTCCTCCCCAGGTTTCCCAGCCACAGCCTGTGGTGACATTTCCTACCACTGTTGTACTAGGTGTCACCTGTTTAGCGGCTTCTCTCAGCTGAGTGTCCGTGGCCGCAGGTGCTGTGCGAACACTGATGCGGTCTGACAGCCTTAGATGCCAGCTGCCTGCACGAAGCCTGCCCAGTCACCACTTTTTCTGTGAGTAGGATATGCTGCCCACGGCATGACAGATACAGAAACAAAAAACTAGGTGACCGGAAAGCTGAGACAAGTCCTACGAAGTGGCCTCCTGGGCCCCGTGGCTTTCAAATAATTGGGAGTGATAGAATAAAAACAAAGGTTGGAGGGAGTCTTGTTTTCTTACACTGATGCCCTGCGGACTGTACATCTGACTGGCTGCGAGTCCGTCACTGTATCCTCCTGTCTGGCTGATAACATGGCGAAGGGTATCCACCTAGACAACAACAGAGAAGGAATTAGTTCCAGAGATGTCAAGGAAGGCAGGCACATCATTGTCTCACAGTCTACCATCGGGGCATGCCGGATTAACGCGATCATTCGGAGACATTCTTCTTGAGGAAGAAGTGTCCAGTAGGAGGAGGTGGGGCTCTTACTAATGCCAAGTCCATCATGAGTTCTGAGTTCGGCAAGAAGTAAAATGGTAAAGGAAAACTGGGGTTCCCAACCTTGAAACTAATTCCACAGTGCTGCATGAGATGGGGAGGTGGGGGTGCAGAGGAAAGAGGATGAAGAAATTTCTCCTTTTCTCTTATTATTCTTCCCGGTAGATCATCCCATATAGCTCCTCCTTTGCTGAGGATCTGACAAAAATTAATTTTCTGTTGAAAGTGGGCGCGGGCAGCCATCTCACAGAGAACAAGAACGTGACTAAAACCCTGATGTTTTAAGGATTTCAAAGGTGGCCAATTGTTTAGTCACTTGACCGGTGTTGGATTATAGCACTTCAAATCTGCCTCCAGGTAGTTTTTCCTGAGTAAGGGGCTCATTCAATGGCCTGTTGGTCTATCCCAAGCACATACTTCTTTCTGTTCCCGAGGCAGGGTGGAAAATTGGATCAACGTGACTCAGAACTTCCCTCTTACTCTGACCCATAGCATACAACTTTATGCTCTCACATCACACTTCACCTCAGGACCTCTTCCTGAGGTGTCCTAGAGGCAACCAGTTTATAAAGGAGCATTGAGGCTTCATACCGGGCTCGATTTTTACTTCCCAACATGGACTCATCACCAGAAACTCAAGTCCACTGACCTCAAGGATAACTAAGAAGATGATGTTAGTCAACTCGGTTTGTGAAATTTAAAATGAAAACATGGGATGCTAACATGTTTGCCTATTTTCATTAATTATTTCCTTATTTGGGCAAATACTGAATATGGAAAAATCAACCAATGAGAAGGAGACCTGAAAATGGGAGCCAACGGACTGAACTCCTCCCTTTCCCTTTAGTGAATAAAGAATATGCTGGTCCACCTGCCTGATATGCCTTGGTCACCTCGCCCTGTACTTGCTGCCCCTCTCTCGCCTTCCTAGTGTGAGTGACAAGCCAGAGCCAAATGCATTCACAAAGGGTGGACAAGATTCCCTAAAACAATGGTTGTCTTTGTTTTGGTTTGGTTGAGTTTAGTTTCCCTCTCTTTCTTTCTCCTTCCCCCTCTCTGGATTGAAGCAGGAAGCCAATACGACTGAGGGCACTTGGGCTCTAGTGCGTCCACTTGGCAGCATATTGGCTGGGTCCCTACCTGTGATTGCACGTTCGCTCCAACCTGGGCCCCTTGGTAAGAATCCCCATTGAGTGACTGCACGCTCATGAACAAATCTCCAGAGTTTGACATGTTAAAAGAACTGGAAGAACCTGGAAAGGAAAGAGTGAGGCACCTGAATCACAGAAAGGAAAAGGCTCAACCCCCGCAACTAACAGCCAAGAGAAAGAATGACATGCAAAGTAACCCCCAAATAAAAACTAAAATAACAATAACATCAACAGAGTCTGGTTAGTAGCATGAAGAACAGAGCAAGCAATAAAGGGTGCATACTGCTGGTGTTATATGAAGCCACACCTTCCTGTAAGCTGTCCACAGGGACTGCTTCCGCTTGGCAACTTCAAGTTGAGAAAGGGAATATTTATTCTTCTCAACTCAGGTAGGTCTATTGTAGGTGTTTCTTTCATGCCTCTGAAGGAGTAGGATTGGCCACGGGGTTATAAAATGGAGAATATGGGCTTAACAACGTTCTTGTGCCACCAAAATGGAGCACCTTAGCTATTTGACTGGTTTCTAAATATGCTATTATGTAACCCATCTACTCACATGGGGAACAGTACCAGGGAGGAGAGGACCTAGAAACAATGTCACGCACTAGGGCTGGCCCTGGAGGATACTGACATTTATGACTTCTGCAAAGAATGTCAAGTTCCTTGCTGGGTGGCAAAGGCCCAGGGAGCCATGAAAATTGCAAGAATACACAAGAACAGTCTACCCTTCTCACCATCTATCAGTGTGGGGAAGGACGAAGCTGAGAGATGGAACAGGAATTCCCAAGCATGCACGAAACACGAAATGCTGCTGACAATAATGATAATGATTTCTAATGTGGGCCTCAAGAAGGGCAGTGAGCCAGATTCACATCCCAGAGATGGAGGCGGCTTCATCCACAGAGTCAGCCCTTGAGATCCATCCTGGCACTACCCAGGCACCACCAGCTCTGCTGTGGTAAACCTCACCCAATTTCAACTTAAGCTCAAGGGCCGACAAAAGCTTAATATTATTCTGAAGGCATCGTGCGTGCAGCTCAGCGCATTAGGAAAGAAAGCTCAACGTGCAAGGTTTGGTTAAAACATGACGTTAGCCTGAAAAGGAAGAGACCTCAGGGACCCAGGTCAGTTGCATTTTTTTTATTTCAAACCCTGCACTGTTTAAATGGCGCTCTTGCCCTAGTATTCGGAGACAGCCATCATCAGCGTGGAATCGCCCAACCGTGAGTCATGCCTCAGCTCTGATACTTGCCTTGTTTTCCCCCAAGATAAAGATCTGAGTTCTCTTAGAGCTGCCCTGCCTCCCATAGAAAGCTGCTGCTAACCAGGGAGAAGGCTTCCCCATAAAGGCCCACTTAAGAAGCGATGCATTCTAAACTTTGTCCTGTGCTTAGCTATCATACACACCATCAGGCTTCAAAGGCAAGGGCCAGGCAGAGAAACCAGATGACTAACAAGTGTTGGGACCACTCCACATTAAAAATATCTCCAATTTTCTTTTTTTATGGGATTTTCACCTACATGCAAGGCACGAGCTAACGACTCCACTACATAAACTGATCGATGCTCTATCTAGCTCTCCTCTCATTCCACTTTCCCAGAGAAAACGAAATGCTTTCTTGGGGGCGGGGGGATAGCACACGTATCAACCATAGGACTGACATTTTCATAGCTCTGCAATATGTCCTGTCTCATCTAGCATACATTTTTTTTTCTTCATGAATTTATCTAAAAGGAGTTAGAAGAGTTAAATCTTAGCAAAGTCGGTGTGAGAACTGATGAGGTATGGCTTGTACTCAGTGAGTGGGGTGAAAGCGTCAGCCTGCAACTTCCTTGCATTAATATGGTACCTATCTTTCCAGCTACCCCCTGACATACAGATAAAGCATGGGGTAGCACAGGTCCCACTCTCACCTTAATAAAATACCCAGAGTTCTATATACTTGGCTATAGCTCCTTCAAAATCTGTTTTGTAATCACAGAGATAAACCCAAATAATAAAAGCGATTGCAGTAAGGGTCACAACACATGCGTGTACTTAGATAGCATCAGAAATAAGACCCAAATTGTAACTTTTTAAAATGTCATCAGACTTCTCCCTACCCATCCCTAAACAGTGCTGCTTGAAGCCCAGGTGTCTTATTTCTCTCCCGCACAAATGCCACGTAATCAACCCAAACATTGTATGCTTCGCTGATGGCTTACTGGTAATCAGCACACAAACTTAGAGATGGGAGAAACCCCAAAGGGCTACACGATGCCAAGTAACATGGCATCCATGGAACCATGAAGGCACGGAATGCGCCATTTACAAAATGTACACTGCAATTGACACAGATGATTTAAAAATATATGTGCATAGATAAATTGTAAATATGTCTGGCTGCCTAATGTACACAGAGATAAATATGCGCATATGAATGTACTTCATGTACAAACGCATTTGTATCAGAGAAGTAATTGCAGACATAGGCCCTTGTGCTCTTGACTGAGCTGCTTCAGCATTTCACTGTCTCTGTACACCCATGTACGGCACTACTAGGGATTCTGACTCTCTGGTGAGTATCTAGAGGCAGTGTCTGCATGTAAGGAAGACAGCAGATGCCCCTAGACCACAGTAAAGCAGAGAGATGACCACATAAACATCTAAACAAGGAGGGGCAGCCGTATTCACTGTCCAGCACTGGAAGCTGGAAAGAACTTATTGTGGAGTAGATAGGTTCCTGAGAAGAGCATGACTCCTAGACAAAAAATGAATAGGTTCTCTTGGACGTGCTGTGGGAGTCTCCAACAGCTGATACAATGATCTAGTTTGCTAAGAGCATTTGGGAACCTCATGGGCAGGTTGCTGTGGAGTAATCAGCAATCACTAGAATTGCATTTGAAGATGTGCTTGGAAGATTGATTAAAAGATCTGAATTTGGTTTAAAAATGGAGGCAAGTTGCTTATTTAAACTGCAGCACAGATATCCAGGGCAGGTACAGAGATATATCTACGTCCCACTAGACAGAGAAGAAATAAATGGTTACCCATCTAATGCCTTTGCTTGGGCAACATCATGGCATGGAAATGTGCTAATATCTATATTCATTAAGCCAATTTCCTAAAAGTTGCATTTCTACTTTAAAGAATCCTTAGAAAATTTAATTTTTTCAGAAAAAAATGAACAAACCAAAACAACCAAAAACCCAATTAACCTCATAACTACCCCCCCAAGTGGAATAATAATAAATAAACCTAGAATGATAACAGTAAACCCCATATCAGGGTTTCTCGACCTTGGTACTACTGGCACTCAGATCAGGTAATTCTTTGTCGTGGGGAACATCTGACGTTAGGCACTGTAGGATGCTTAGCCATATGTCCTTTCTCCGCTCATAGCACTAATATCCTCCTTCTAAAACTGTGGCAATCAAAATGTTCTGAGGTACAGCTCAATGTCCTTGGGGTTCAAATTTGTCCCTAGCGGAGAATCAATGACCTAGTAGGAATGGATTTACTTTTTGCTCTTAAGACCCTAAAAGTATTTTCAAGTCCTGGCTCATTATTTCATTATAGGCACGAAATTTCTGTAAAGTAGCTGCACAGTGAATGGTCTTAATTTCTGCAGTGTCAAAAATCAAGATTGCAGAGAGATGATGGGACCAGTGTGATGAGAATCAACTCCCACACTATTTGGAGGCACAAAAGACAGATCTTCTTCGCTAGATGCAAGCTTAGTTACTTCTTGTGCCTGCTTCTAAGAAAGAGCCCTAGTTCTCATATCGCACCAAAAGTAGGAGGCTGAAGATGCATCACTCCAGGTCTCTTCTGAAGAGGGATGAACTTAGATTTTTATGGTTGCTTCAAGTGATCTCCATTTTTGCCTTCTCTATTCACAACTTTACCTCCCTTCCTTGTATTCTTCCTTTTTGCCCCACCTGTCTTGCTCAATCCTGCTATGAAGCAGGCTAAATGCCTCGAAATGCTGGTTAATCCCACACAGGTCCTAGTCCTACATGATTTTAAAGAAAAGGAGACCAGGTATATTTCAATCAATGGGAATACTTAGACATGGCCTATGTAAAGGTATTAACATGCTGATCCCACACAGAAATCTCAGGAGGGAATAGTTCCTTGCAGTAGAAATGAATATTTACACTTAGTAAAGTTTCTGGGAAAAAAACTCCCGCTTCAGTGTTCAGGATTTAAAAAGTTCCTTGGAGCTTGGTGTGCATAACTGTATTCTCAGCACTCTGGAAGGCTGTGGCAGCAGGATCTCAAGTTCAAGCCTAGTCCACAAATTTAATGACTTAGTGAGACCCTGTCTCACAATAAAAAGAAAAAGAAATTGAAGATGTAGATCAGTGTGAAGGCCCTAGGTTCAATTCCCAGTACTGCAAAAATAAAATAAAAAGTATTTCTTTGCTACAGAACTCTAAACTCCAAACTCTACCAAAATATATTTTCACATATTAACCTCTTATTTCAAATTTGTGCCAGGCAAGGTGGCACATATCTGTAATCCCACCCCTCAGAAAGCCAAGGCAGGAGGATCACTTGTGAGTTTGAGACCAATCTGAGTTCACAGTGAATTCAAGGCCATTCTGAAGTATATAGCAAGATGGTGACTCAAAAAAAACAAAAAAATGAAAAAGAAAAAACCCTAATTAAATAAACACAGGTTGTTAATTTCCACAACCATTTCTCTTTTGAAAGTATTGAAAACCAGTACACCCTACATAAAAACTGGAACATTTATTACTTTATCTGTGCACCGATTTGGCAAAAGAGTAGAAGAAAATACAGCAAAGCTCACTTACAACCTTGTTCGTTATTTCTTTTAGAATCTCATATGACCACACCCATGCAGTCTGTACTTTATAGTATAGTCTCTCCTGCACTGAATGAATATACATAACACACTGCAATGACTCTTCCTGCATCGAATGCATGCTAACAGGTGACTCTGACACTATGTTGTCTTTACTGCACAGTCTCTGCTTTAGAATCAACACTACAGAGGGTTCCTCAGCGGACTATTTCCAACAACTTGGGCACACATGGAAAGTTTAGCTCAAATTTTCCATAATTACTTCGTCTGTGCCCAGAGTCGTCACACCAAGTCTAAGGCACCAGAAACAGCCCTTAGAAAACTGTACTCACAGACTGGCATTCTGTGAGTGCCAAATACAGAGCAGGGGTTAAAATGCTTACTTTTCTCTTTGTAAGGGCTTTAGGAAAGAATAAATAGTTACAGATATAGTAATGAAGGAAGTCCACAGGGCCCTTGTAAGGACTAGTCATAAATCATGCTAAGCCATCTGCGATGCAGCTATATCAGGGACAGGGAAAAAGTCATTTTGATATCTGTTTTGCATTATGATAACCTTTGCAGGAGTGTTGAGTGCATTTTTTGCTAATGTTAACAGAACTGTACCTCTTCCAAAGAGACAAGTGAAAATGTCTGCCTAGCAGTACAGTTCAAGTTGTGTCGCTGGGTCTGAAACACTTAAGAGTTGACCGGATGGAGAAGAAGCAGTTATCCTTGATCCTTTGCCAATCACATCAGGATGGGGAGAGAAGATAACAAAACAAAGCTTCAAAACGCAAATGTGCTCCTCATAGTTACTCGAGCTGCGGGGCTGGATTCTACACTGTCTTTCCATGGCCACATGTACAGAGCCCAGTCCACTGTCGGTGCATGATTGCATTTAAACACGGACAGTACGGCTGGACGTGGAGCAAAGTATGACAACAAATGAGGACAATGAAAAAGCTCACAGAAGGTATCCGTGCGTGGAGCCTCCACGTCTCGGCCACGGTATGGGAGAAGGAGGACTTCGTGCAGTGCACAATCAGGTCAAAGACACCAGATCCCCCAAGAAATGCTAGGAAGTAGATTTGTAGTTGTATTCTAATTAAATATATTTCAATGTTTATTATTTTGTTGGTATCATCTTAGATGCGCACTCCACAGCCCGAGACAGCAGAAACTGTTCAATGTGGGTAGTACCATAATTTGATACAAAGCTTATTTAAGGAGAAAATACTTGTTTTTCCTTTATCAAAAATAAAAGCGCACCATTCCTTCCATGGCACACAAATACTAAAGTGACAGTTTAAGCATAAGTGAATTTTTTTCACTGTGGATATTCAGAACTGATGGCCCAAGGCATACCCAAAAGTATATCATGTCTCAACTAACCTCTAGAACTAGGGAACCGATGCATATTCACTAAAATACAAATACAACCTACACGACTGATACAATGACATGAAAACTGGAATGTGAATAATTTGAATTAATGACTGGCAATTTTCTATGTAGTTTACACAAGGAAAACCAATAAAATAAAAACAAAGAATAATCATTCTAAACAATTCATAGAAATAATTGTAGCCTGGCTTTGCAGATCAGAACTTGCTAATGATATTGCTAGAATGACTAGTCCTTCATTGAATGTATGCTAACAGGCGGCTCAGACACTATGTGTTGAGGACAGCAAAAATGGATAAAAACTTTATATATAAAAGGCCAAATGACCGGACTCCGAGGATCTCTCTCAAGCTTAAGTTTAAGGTCTTTATTGGAGTCTCTGAATTTAGAGGTGTCATCAAAACCAAGCACTGTGCCTCTGCCTCAAGGAAAGCAAGACACATTAATGCAATCTCCCAGACCACACGATCTTGTAAACAGTAGAATACATTGTTTCTGGAGATGAGAGGAAGTGGTATCAGCAATACAAAGGGTAATTAAATACATAAATCAACCAATCAAAAATCTACAGAATTAAAATTAAATCCAGTGTCAGAAATGCAAGTATAAAAATGGAGAACAATCCCCCCAAATCAAAGAAAAAACTAACCAGCTGAGTTGGGAGTGGAAGGTGAGTTAGCTTGGCTTCCATGGGCTGACACATTGGTAGCAGTGACAGCCGTTTTGGCAGCATAAATATTGGCTTCCTCTTGAAATTTACCTATGTTCTTCTTGTACCGGATTCGCTTATTTCCAAACCAGTTTGATACCTATGGCAGTTTAAGAGAAAATAAGAAATTTAACATTCATTCTTTACAGACATTGTAGCAAGAAAAGAAGATCAGGATGAAGAGGTAGGCAAATTGGTCTTCTCCTGCTGATGATTTGCAACACAATTAAGAGATCTGAAGTAAGAGCTTCTAACACAGCAACAACATACACTGAGATTCCCTTGTTTAATGTAACTAAAATCTAGCAAAACCACAGTGATAAAAATTTTTTTCCTATAGAAGATCTGCTCATTTAAGCCAGGACTCTTTTAATTTAGAGCAAGCATTTTAAATGTGCTTACTCCTTAATTTATGACACTAAAATAAACATACCAGGAGAAATGCCTGTTTCTTATCAATGCTAAAGCTGACTTAGCACAATTAAAATACACAGACCTTTAAATATCTGTATAAATCTATATTAACATATGGGTGCTTTCATGCATAACTTAATTTCAAAATTTTAGAAGTTAGATAACTTTAATATGGACTCAGATTCTTAGCTGCATAGTGTTATAGACTTCAGGATCAATATAATCCCACCCAATACATTACACCGAGTATTTTCCGCAAAGCTCGCTGTTAGCAACAGAAAGAAAAGCTGACACACACACTGATTATTCCTTTGAATTCCAGGCTTTAAATGTTAAAACCCATATACACAATAAGCCTAATTTACTTTCATTTGTTAATTTATTTCCTTCATGTTGCTCACAGCAGCTGTCCTGGCTTGATTTGGGACCTCTGCTCCTTTATACAAAGACCTCTGCCAGAAACAAGTGGAGATATAATCAAATTCAAGTTTAGCCCCATAATTCCTGCCCTGGGATGGAAGGTTTTATACCTCATATTCCAGATGTGATTTCTGAACTACAATGTTGTGCTTTGTATATAATTATGAAACAAACTCAAAATTTGGCGAGGGAATGGTGAATTGAGCACACATGTACCATGGCTTATAGAAAATTATATACAGTCACCCCTTCCCCATAAAATGGCACATAAAGAAAATGCTTGCAAAACCACATTTTAAAAAATCACTGAAAATTTAAAACATAAGGCTGTCCCTCAAAGACTATGCAATTTAGGCTATAGCAAAAATGCTAAGCCTTTGTTATAAAAATAAAAATATCATGGCACTATTGGTAAACAAGAGAGGAAAAAAGTCAGTAACAAAATGCTTATTTATTGTAGATCCAGAAAAAAATTTAAACTGAAAGAGGAAGGGTATTTCCGGGTTTATTTCAGGATCATTGTATATCTATCTAATTTCTTTTTGAAAGTCACACTTTTCTTGATATTATCTTCACTGTTCATGTCAATCATTCGTGATTATCATTGCTCTTTGATTTCTAAAGTGGAATGGGAGAAGAGGAAAACAAGGACATTTTTCAGAGTTAACTGGAAGAAAGATGAGGGTAGCTGAGGAGTTTAATTTCAAAAAGGAGAGTGATTATTAAAAAAAAGAGAAGAAAGACAGCAACTCCCTGCCTAGAAATGGAAGCCTGGGAGCATATTTAATATATGATACAATGACTCTAATTTGTAGATTGGAAAATGAAATAAACTGTGAATCCCCTAGAATTACACAGCTGGCCCGTCTCAGAACCGTGTCCCTACCATAAAGCATCACACAGTATTGTGTCCCATCAGGACTTGCTTAGCAATGGGGGAGCAAATTGTGCCTCCTGGGGAGGTGGAGGATGAGGAGATGGGGAAGGAAGAATGCAGGCCTTGGGGTGGATGGAGGAAAGAGAAAATTATATAGGAGGCAAATAATCACTGTGCAGAACCAAGTATGTGCACTTGAGTGTCTGTAATAAAAAAGTAAAGGCTGTTGGAATAGAACAGGGTTCTATATTATTATTATTATTATTATTATTGACTGAACCCAGGGCCTTCTTACTAAACTACATTCCCAGCTTTTTATTTATTTTTTTAAATTTTGAGTCAGGGACTCACTCAACTTTTTATCTAGCTGTAATACTGGTTAGCTCGAGAAGGGTTCATTTTCACGTCTCGAGAGATTTGAAATTCTAAATCCCAGACACAGTTCTCAGAGAGTAAAGTGACTTAATTCTACTTTAGAGGCAGAAGATCCCTGGGTTTTAGGGGTACAGCTCAAGATTAGATCATTTGCCTTGTGTGGGTAATGCCCTGGGTTCAATCCTCAATAGTAGGGCAAAAAACAAAAACAAAGACAAAAACAGAAGCAAAAAACAAACAAATAAACAAAACAACAAAACTAATTTGTAAGTTAATGACATGATCCACATCTTGAGCCATTCCTCAAACGCGCAGGAAGTCATAACAAAAAGGCGTCATTATTTTTTTCTTTTTTTGTAAACAAGGGGTCTAGATTTAGATAAGAACCATTACTGCCCTGGGAGCAGTGGGGGGTTACTAGAGTTTGACTGCTGATGTTCTGTCTTCCCAGGATGGTCAAGTCTGGAAATGATCTTCAAGGAGGGAAAAGTGCCTGAGGAGGAGGGCTCAGGATAAAAAGGAGTCTACTCATTCTGTCTTATCTGAAAAAAAAAAAAAAAAAAGGATGTTTGCTGCTGCTAACTGACCCACAATTTGTTGGTTCGGCTTGGGCAATCTTTCCCTCGTCAATACCTGTAAGTACCTTTGGTGGCATTCTACTTTATTTTGACTGTACCTGATTTTGCTTAGCTAAACACAGGTTGATAGAATTAGCGCTCTCCTGGGAGTAACAGAGCCAGAATTCAATTCAGGGATGTACAGATGCTTAGTTTATATAGAACAGCATCTACTTGGTTTGAGAAATGTTTAGTGAAATTTCTCCCCGGAGTAGAATTCTCCATTACTCCCTTTCATCCCTTAAAGGAAACACCAGCACACTTAGCTCTCTTGCCAGTGATATAATTTGGAGGAAAACTTTCTCTGACAGATTTCAGGATTCTCACTAAAGTTTCAGTGAGAGACTACAGTTGATATTTGAAGGTCAAACTGAGTAAGAAGTGTGGATGGACCCTTGGAGTAGAAAAATGTAATTGTATGTGAATACTGCCTCTGGTCTACTTCATACTAATGTTGAAGACTCCAGATCTATAAAAATTTTATGTCACGTGTATTTCCGACTCAGTAGGTAGCAACTACAGTTATTGCATTTTGGGGGAAAGGGACCCTCGGTGGCATTTGGTGTAACCACTCCAATGCAATAATGGTGACATGGTAAAATTCCTTCATTCTATCTGCTATAGAGTCAGCACATCGAGAGAAGACATCTGACTCCATTTCTCTAAAGGCCACAGAATGACTGGTTTCATTCACTGACTCTTAAAGTAAACAAGGGACCAAGTAAGGAATTGACCAAGTTCGAGAAAATAGCATGAGGAATACAGATGGCTTTCTAAGTACATGGTAAAAACTCCACCCATTCAAAGCAAAGGAGTGCTCGCTCACTGAGAAGAGCTTTATGCTTGTTTTCACACTGGTTTCTTCCTCTTCTTCTCTCCCTTCGGCTGGGACCTCTCACATTTTTTCAGGTATTTACCTTGAAGTTCTCTTGCACACATCAAGTGCTTGCCTCACTATCCTACAGCTTTAGCTAATGGACCTTACAAGGCATGGATGTTCAGTAAAGCAAGACCACCATGAAGACCCTGCTGCAAGGCTCCCCAAAGCCAGGCTGTAGCCTGGGTTTCAGGGGGCTTCTTACCTGGGAGACAGTGATGCCACACTTCTTGGCTAGCTCCTCTTTGGCTTCCTCACTGGGGTAAGGGTTGCTGAGATGGGAATAAAAATACTCATTCAGGATCTCCGTTGCTTGCTTGTTGAAATTCCGTCTCTTCCGCCTCCATAAAGAGAAAAGGAAAGAAAACAACAAAAGTTTACACCAAATAAATTCAAGGGAGAGAACAGGATCTCTATCGGGGAGAAGACACATTTTTGAGCAAAAGGTGAAACAGAGATTTGCACAAACGGGCTGGACACTCATGAAAGACACTTGGTCAGTACTGCACTGTACGCCACAGAGAAGAATGGTGACATGTAAGGTTCAGGCCACCTTGGTTTTGAATCACGGATCGACTGGGTACCAGCAGGTTGTTTAGGCTGCCCCTCTAAGTCTCAGCTTCTTCTACTAAAAATGAGGCATCCTACTGAACTCATAGGGTTAAAGGAAAGGAGAAAGCAAGCCACACACAGAAAACATTCAGCTCAGTGCCTGATATATGTCAACAGCCAGGACGTAGTGGTGACAATTTAAGGTTTAGATGTAAGATGTCCCCCCAGATTGTCAACTGTGTGGGGAGATGACCAGGTCACGGGGGCACTAGGCCATCAGGGGATCCGCTGATGACTTCAGGAGCGGAATGCACTGCTGGTATAGATGTGCTGCCCAAGCGAGCACACTGAGTGAGCTACTGGGGGTGGGACCTGGTTGGCAGGGGCCATTGGAGGCAGGACCTGGAAGCCTGTGTTCTTGTCTCTGGCTCCTCCCCCTCTCCATGCTTCCTGACTGCCGTGCCCCTCTACTGCTCTGTTCCTGCTTTGGAGTGCGTTGACCACAGATTGAAACCCTAAGTCTAAAAAAAAAAAAAAAAAAAAAAAACTCTCCTCCTTTAAGTTGTAGGTGTCAGGTATTTTGTTGCAGTGATGGGAAAGTGACTAAGAAACAATTCTTCCTACTAGGTCACAGCAATCAATCCAAGTGATTCCCTTTCAGGGCTAGCCAGGCAGACATGCTTATTCCTATTTACAGCTGAAAAGCCTCATTCAAAGGTCACTTAGCTGGTACGTTGTTGGAGAGCCAGGATGTTAATTCAGTTCTGCCTATGAAACCCAATCTCTTCCTTCTACACGCACTGGCTCCTGGCCATTACAGAGACTCTGCAGCCGAGAGTTAAAAATAAGTTATCATTTTCTCTCTATTCTACCCTCATATAAATGGATGCAACATTTTTAAAAAGGCACCTTGGAACAGGGCAGTGAACGGACTGGAATTAACCCCCTGACTGCCTGACCTCTTTCAAGAGGAGAAAAGAGGACTCACTCCTTACACAGGAACAGCAGCAGAATGGTCAAACAAAAGGCCACAAGAAATCTTTTTCAAATCCAGGTTGCTAAAAGGAAGAAGACCATTCTCAAATCAAAGCATTTTCTGCCTTAAGAAAAATTGTTAACTGAGCTGATTTCAAGAGAGAAGCACGTCAGTGCTTCCTTCCAGCTCAGGTCTGTGGACAGCTAGGAAACTCCAAGTTCATGGCAGGTCCGGCTGGCTCTCCTTGAAGTTGTAGGGTCTTCATCTTCAAATGAGCTCTATTAGCACTTTTGTCTTTCTAGCTTTTATCAAATGCTTGTCCTTGTGGAAAAGATTTCCAGAATACCTCTGGCTATGCCAGAATACGGAATTTCCCAATTTAGCCAACAGAAAGCATGGATGGCCTTGGTAGACAGGAAATTCAGCTAATATTGTATTTTCAGGGTCCCACTTGGATTAATTAACAAAATAAAGTACCCGATTTTACCAGATGAACACCATCTGTCCACAGGTATGAACCACAGCTGTCCAGATCATGCCAGGCCCAAGTCACTCTCCCAAATCATGCTGAGTTTCTGGGTCACCCAGCATCAGAAGTCAGACAGTCTGGATTAAAAGGCCCAAGTAAAAAGTAGGCATGTGCTAAGAGCCCTTGCTTGATGGGAATTTGAGGAAGACGGCCAAGTGGCTGGTGCTGGTCTTTGCATAACCTTTGGCTGCTGCTTCTTCTCCTGAGGAAGACAGTTGTTTCAGGCCTGAGGAACTGGACCCCAAAGACTCCCCTAATTGTGAGAGTCTCTGTTCATTCATACGGTTGTTTGCATTAGCATTACAGTGTATTTTTTGGGACTCTTCCAACCGAGCTCAAAGGAAACCTCTCTGGAATGAGCTGGTGGCTTGGGGATGGTGCAGACAGCTGTTCCTTGCTCTCTCCACGTTGTGCTGCACACCCTTCCCTGGGTGGCCTCATCCACTCTGACGGACACGCTTATCACCTCTTTCAGTACCCGTCTCGCCCAATGGCCTCTGAAATTCCAGGATCAGGATATTATTAGAGTTTCAGAAGACACAGGCCATTTATGTCCAATCTAACAGAGACACCCAATTTCTTGGCATAACTTGAAATGAGTTCACTTTTGTGATGTCGAGCCCATCAGACACTTTGGTAGTCTAGTATCTCAGTTTTTAATGTGAGAAAAGTGGGTGCTCATGAAATATTACTAGAAAAATACAGCATTTTAGGGACAGAAATCTTCTGAATCGCAAGGGGTCACAGGTGACATTTTTTTATAAAACACATGGAATAGTGAGAAATGTAGGCATTGCAGATATACACTAACTACCGACTGTCACCTTCTGCACTAATCCCTCTCCTACGAGCCGCTGTTGCCTTTACCACTGCAGACTCCAGGCAGCCACCAGCAAACTGTGTTTCCAAAACTAACATCACCTTTCACCCAGATCAGTTCCATCTCCCTTGTTACCCATATTGTTGCACGATACCAGCACAGAAACAATTCACGGTGGTTGCCAATTTGCTTGTTCACTGAAATATTTGAGTGCCTGGCGTGTGGCCCCAAGACGGTAGTGATTCTCCACAGCCCTTTATTATCCTCATCAGATGACTGAGCCCAGAGAAACCTCTGCCAGTCCCGTCCTTTCGTGTCTATCTCTTTTGTCTACTCCTGTTCTGGTCGCTACTACTTTTGAAATGGGGTTTGAAGATCCAGTGGCTCTTCCGTGATCCAGTAGGGTCTGGGAGCACCTTTTGTGACAAGGGAAGGTCCTGTCCCTGCACTGACAATATAGAAGACCTTAGCACACGTGCTATGTGCACTTGAAATGGGGCGAGCGTAGCTGAAGAACAAAGTTTGGAAAGTATTAAGTATTATAATTTGATATTTAATTTGATAAATTTAATATTAATTTAAATGTAAAATCAAATAGCTAGACTGACTCTTTCCTGTATTAGTACCCAAGCAGCCCAGCTGTGGGCTGCACAAAAGAAAGCACAAAATATCTACAATGACCTATTTTGTTATGCCTCATGATATACAAATATTTACCTTCAAATGAGAAGGTTCTTTCAAATATCTGCATAACATGCAGAGAGTATTTCATGTGTAGGCCCTCTTGCTCCAGTCTGGAGACTACAAAATCTGAGGTGCTCGTTTGCTACAGAATTCTCTGCTGATTCAGCTCACATTCTAAGGAATCTCCAGAGCAGTTTTCTTACACCATGAATTCATTTGTGGGATGATGAGGTATATAATAACAGGTAATGTGGTCATCATTAGAGTTATAGCTGAATATGGGCATGAATACAATGTGCCCAACACTATACCAAGTTTTTCATACAATACTATTTATTTCTGTTTACAGATTTATTCCCATTTTATAGATACAGAAACAGAGTGTTTGGGAGGATGAGACACTTACCACCAGGATTGTGGAAAGAATCTGAACCAATGCTAGAGCTTAGATAGTTTTCGCCTTTACTCTCTCCCTTAGTTTCTGCAGTTTAACAGATTCCAAATCTTCACCAGTAGAGCTATGGCTTTTCAGGGACCCATCCTATTTCCTAGATCTATCCTCAGCACAAGTTTTCTAACCACAACACACACTCATGCACTAACCAAAGACTCTGGTGGCTGCCATACTTTCCTAGCTGTTCATCTCTCTCTCCCACAGCACTTGGCCCAAGTTTACAACTAAACAGCAAAATCCACAAGGGTAGGAGCCACGTCTCACTTGTACTTGAAACCTCTGTGTCTTATAGGTGAGAAGTCCTTATGGAATTTGAGTTAAGTTGTTCTACTTTGCTCCTTACCCCTTTTATTTGGCAAATATCCTGCTCTTCTGGAATTCATTACTGTCTATCTTCTTCTTGGGTCTGGTTTGCTCCAGGTGGGTTGGCTGATGGATTATATTCCTAGTATAGCAGGCACTTTTCTGTTTATTTGTAAGATTAGCTGTTTGTCCCATGAGATGATAAACTCTGTGAAGGCTGGACCAATTTTGTATGTATTTTTGTCACCTCTATCATTCCTAGTGGTTAACCGAGCATCTGGCCAACACTAGGGGCTCAATTTAATACATAAGAAGGTCTGGATGCAGTGTCATTTGATTAGAGCTTACTGGATTCCTCTTTTATTCCTTGCCATTCTTTTCTTTGGTAATTCATTTTCTCTAATCTTCTCTACCTTCACAAGTGCACAAGCATATTTCTAATCATTCGCTTACATTATTATGCATCTTTTTAACAAAGTGCCGCAGAAAAGCCCATTAAAACTTTTGCTTGAAAATCATTTAGAGGGTTTCTAAGTTCTCCCTTGCTTTACGAAAAACTCTGCAGTCCCGAAAAAACTTAACCAAGCTTACAGCACTGTACTTGGTGCATAGCATGAGATAATAGGTAATGAATGAATGAGGGAATGAATGAGTAGAAATTTAACATTGCACTTTCCTGGCACAGTTAATACAAGGAAGAGAAAGGATGTGACCTGAACAGAACACGCCTCAGCCAAGTGCTTGGTCAAGAACTATGGTGGGAAGAGGGCTATTGACTGCAACCGTAGTGTGCTTGTCTCCCTGCACTGGTGCCTGGTGTGGTGAACACGATGGTCTATCACGCCTACAATGAACTAAAAATCAGTTCACTCAGGGCTGGGGATTTAGCTCAGTGGTTTTGTCGCCGGCTTTGCAAGCACAAGGACCCAAGTTCAATCCCCAGTACCACAAAAAAAAAAAAAAAAAAAAAAAAGGAAAACAAAAATCAGTAAATAGGAGAGAAGACTTGGTTAAAGTTACAATCAGAGTCTGCCCTTCTGGTGTTCAGGAAGAAAGGAAGCAGAGCTGTGGGGTGTAGGCCTCTGAGAACTGGGGCTCTCTGGCCTGTTGTCCCCAGGGTCTGCCTTCTGCCAACCAGACGGAGCTTGGAAGATGACCCTGAGCTCCAGATTCAATCTCGGTCTCAGCAGACACCTTGATCGTAGCTGTGAGGATACCAGAGCAGAAGAATGGGCTGAGCCAGAAACAAACCCCTGACCAATAGAAACTGAGAAATAAAAAACCCAGGAAGTGATCTGCTCCATAGCATTAGAAAGCAGACAGAAGGCGTGTTTGACAAAAAAGTAGTAGCAAGCGATTCCACAAACCTATCAGATCACAAAGACCTATCCTTTTACTAAATCAAGTTCTCTTTGGGTTTTACTTGTCTTCCATGAAGTTTATTATTATTGTTAGTACTTTTTTAGATGAAGCCCTGCCCATGAAACTCTTGTCACATGTGAGTAGGGACAGTGCATACGGTACGCCTTTTTTTTTACTAAGTTTTGCTTGGCTCTCTCTCCCAGTTACAGTTGGAGATGCGAAAGAAATGATGTGAATTTTCCAATCAGGAAGTCTGAGCAAACATTTGTTCGTGAGCTGGGAAAGCCATTTGCTCAGCCTTGGGCTGACATTTGGGGTGATGTTGTTTTATGGATGATAAATATAGCCACAAAATAAAATGATAATAATGACAGTAGGTGAATTGTTTCAGTTTCGGATCTTGGCTCAGGCACAATGATTCAAAGCTTGTGAGCAAAGCAAGAAAGGGACCCTGTCTTAAAGAGATTGTCCTTCTGGTGCCAACTGGAACAATCCAGGCCGAGGCAGGTGGAAGTAAAAGGGACCGGGCACAAAGCTTGCCTAGTCTGGTGTTTTCTATAGTCTGACCTTTGGCTAGGCACAGCAGAATTACTGCAAGAAGAAATCCAAGGAGACAACAATTCTTCTCCATCTTTCCTACCAGTTTCATTCTTGAAAAGAACTCAGCCTGGACCCAAATTTTCTTTTTTCTTTTTTTCACTATCTGCCAACATAAATACCAACTGCGGCATTTTAACTAGGGTGGTTTCCATGGGGATTTGAGCAACACGTGCAGTGTGGTGGATAGAGAAGGACCCAGAGCGAGTGCTTGTACCTGGCACCGTGTGGAATGGTGTGCATGAAAGAAGCCAGGCTAGCGGCAAGCCAGGGGGTGAGGGGCAGGGGAGACACAGGGGATCCTGGGGCAGGGTGATCTCGCCTACTCCCTTCCATCACTACACTCAGCTGAAAAAAATTGTCTTTGTTTTCATTTCTCTTGACTTTATGAAATTCTACTGACCCAGAGATACATTTTGCCCACTGGCATGTTCGTTTTGTATTCCATACAATCCAAAATATCTCAAATAAATGGAAAGTTAGGAGATGATGCCAGGAGCTCTGAAGAGGTCCCTGCATTGTAAAGACCACAATGGTGAAGGGAGAGAAATAAATGCAGGTAAGAAAGCTGAATAATACATGATTGAGGGAGGCAAAAATCCAACAGGAACAGGGAATCTTTCTGTCTGAGAAAGGACAAAACTATAGAGCATAAATGATATACCGATCTTAATATGGCAAATATTCTGTATAAAAATCACAGATTGAGATTATTTTCAGCTACTGAAATGGTGAATGACGGCATATGGATTCATAGGAGATGACTAATTTGAGATGAACTGTACATCACAACACATCCCCATATTCTGAGATGTGTCTGCTGGATCAGTTATCAAAATGTTACTCTAGAGTAGATAAAAGATATGATTATCATCTTCTTTCACGCTAGATAACAGAAGCCAAAATAACTTAAAGGATTTACATACATCCACTGGTCTACAGAGTAAGGGAAGCAGGAACTGATGACTTGTTCTTTGTTCTCAGTTCTCGCTTTCTAAAAGGACCTTTCTGAATGCTTCATCTGAATGCTTTGAATTCCCAAGTAAGGTCATGATCTGCAATGCCAGACAGAAATCATCAGCCCAGCTGGGCCCATGCCAGACCACGTCCTTGCTCCTCTATGCCCAAGAGACCCTGTCTTGCTCCTCTGTGTACTTCTAAAACTAAGTGAGAGTATAGAGCATGGTAATCTATAAAAAATTCTTCTTGAATTGAACGGTATACACTCTCCATTTTACATCCCGGGAAAAGAATCCTAGCTTTCAAACAAGCAAAGATGACCCACTTGGAAGAAGGGTCACTACAGCCTGCGAAAACAATGACAATGGGCCGACCCACAGTATGAAATACACTTAGAAGAGAGGCACTCAGTGCTCCGAGGATGAAAGCTCCTGCTTCCTCTGTCAATGCAGCTGCCATCCTCGCTGCCCGCCCAGCTGGTAACAAGGGGGATAAAACTGTCCCCTGTAGTCAGGGCCTGTCCTGGCAGTCTTCTGACTCAGAGCTTGCCGTTATCAGGCCCAGACTCGTCCTTCAGTCACTGCTGGCTCAGCACCCAACCTGGCACAACTGGAGCCTTTAGAGAGGGCCAGGCCAGGGCTCTGCCGGGGACTCACCGCGCATCCAGAAACCGGGAGCGCAGGATCATGACGGCCTCGCACGTGCTCTGCTTGAGCTGCATCTGGATGGAGCTGAACTTGCGATGGATGATGCTGACCATCCGCTCGATCTCCTTTGGGGAGATGGGCCTGGTCCGGCTTTGCTCTCTCAGGAGATTCATCACATGGGTGGTGAACTCGTTGCATGCCTGTGGGGACAGAATAGTAAACACAGGGCAACTGAGGACCTGGGGATTGGCACACAGCGGGTCCACGGTGTGAGATAAAGAAAACTAGGAGACACAATGGTATTTTGACAGAATAAATGACTGCCTGAAATTTCCTGTCCAAGCTTGGGCTCTAAGTTTTGGTCATGATTTCAATTTTTTATCTAACCCCTCCTCCCGCCACAATTTTGCTACTGTGAAAGACGAGAACAACAACAACAAAAAAAATCCTAGTCTAACACATATTTCACCAACCTGTGTCCCAGTGTTAACAGCAAGAGAGCTGGGGTCAGATAAATCATGAGCTTTCTGCCTTGCTCATTATCTCTGCTATGATAGAGTTCCAAATATTCAATTTGGGGAAGCGTAAACAGCCAAACGAGTTCAAGTAGATTCATGGAATGTAAAGCTTTGATAATTCTTCCAGGAGATTCTTCATTGATATATTTCTAGTTTTATTTAAGGAACCCCTCCTAGAGTGACCTTATAAATATCTGGTATGTAAAATAGCATCAAAACATGATTTAGAAGATTCAGGAAACGTCTTTTCAGGAATGAAAATTTTTGTGCTGCACACCAACATACTATGGTACCAGCTCTGGAAGAGAAGTTGGAAATCAAATTTCTCCACCTCCTTATTTTACAGTTGGGAAAATGGTGGTCCAAGAAGATGAAGCACCTTTTCCTCAGGCACAGCATAAGCAAGAAAAACAGAAGCAGGGCCCAAATGCTTCATGTTACCAGCCAGGGACTTTGGAGCCTGACCTGCTCCTCTGAAAACCACTGCCTTTTCCTTTAACTGTCATTACTTAGCATCTGTAGTCTGGTTTATTTCTCCAAACATTCAATAAAATATCTATTCACAGATTAACTCACAGCAATGCTGTAGAGCTGTATTAGATTTGTAATGAAAAAGGCAAGATGATGCTTTGAGAATTGAAAAACAAAGGGCTCAAAGGGCCCCAACTTAATATTAACAGTAGAACACGCTCATTATTGACAATATTGTGTCGCGGTTGTTTTTATAGCATGAGATCCCTTCATATGCCAATAACGCAGGAATAGTAATGGCTGTGTACATTCACTGACTATTTACCTAAGAAACCCTTTGGTGTTGGTGGGTCAAAGGTTGGCAGGTAGATGCAGCTATTGGGGTGTGTCTGAACTGGAGAGGGGATAGGCTTGCTTGGGACCTGCCTCCGTGGATATTGGGGCAAATCCCTTCATTACCCCTGCCTCCTTCTATTCATCTGAGTGGACATAACCAGCTCTAACCCCTGGCACATGCAGTGATATCTGTGCTCTTGTGCATAATGACCTGTGGGTGGACAGTCGCTCTCACGGACACAGCAGAGAGGCTGAGTAAGAGCACAGACTGCCGTGGTCCCTTCCTGGGGCGCTCATGAAGCAGTGAGATCACCAAAGTTCCTTAACATCTCTACCTGCTTTTCCTTATTTGTGAAACAGCAAAGATAATTCCATTCTCATAGGATGCAGAAGAGACTAAGTGAGTTACTCTATGGATGCCTGGCCTTACAAATTCCTGTCATAATTACGGCTTTAAAATTTAGATAACATGGGTGGGCTGGGGGTGTAGCTTGGTGGTACAGCATTTGCCTCACATACGGGATGCCCTGGGTTCAGTCCCCAGCTCTATTAAAAAAACAAAACAAAACAAAACAGATATAGATACAAACTGTTTTGCTTTCTACTTGGCAAAGTACTACAGAAACACAAGATCTGTATGCGTGTGTATTCAGAATCCATCCCCAACCCCAGAAGTGTACAACAAAGAGAGGGAGACAAAACCCAGCATCAAGTCGGCTGAGAGCCTGAGGCCACAGGATGGACAGTGAGGACCAGCAGCCCAGAGCAAGCATCCCTGCCACTCTGCCAGGGAAAGGCACCCTCCTGCTGGGCCTCAGCCTCCCCACCTCCACGGGGCTGCCGGGAGGAGGGGCTGGATGCCAGGAGTTGTTGTCAAGAGCACCAGCTCTCAGCTGGGAGGCCACAGTGCTCGGCTAATAATAATGTGCTTCATTACGGTGAATAAAAATACACACAATCTCTGATGTGTAGTCAGGGCATTTTGTCCCGGAGCCCTTTCTGCTCTGCAATAAGCAGACAGCAGAGTCCTCTCACCCACTGCTGAGCCGGAGCAAAGCAGCTGCGAAACAGCTGCTCAGGAACACACCACAGAGAGCAAGGAGTTCCAAGTCCAGTTAGACGGCAAGAACACAATGATCCGAATTCCCCAGAACCTGGCCTGCCCACAGCTTCTCCTCCGTTCCACCACGCTGGGCCCTGTCAGGTGCTCAGCTGCTCCCTTTCATCAGGCATCCATACTGGGACTGGAAGAGGAATATCTGGGGGCACAATCACTGAATACACAGGATCCTCCAGGTGCAGGTGTGTGCTGTAGACTCAGGTACGGGATGTTCTAAAGCCTAAGCTGCCCCTGGAGGGCAGAGGGATTCCTAAGAAGGGGCATCCCAGGTTCTAGCTCAAGGACGTTTTAGGGAACAGAAAACTAAACAGAGCCCTTTGCAGAGATCTGACTGAGGTCCCAGATGTTAAGCTTACATCCTGCCCTCTCTACCAGTCATTTTCCTTTAGGCTTCAAGTTGGATTTGTCTGCCAATCTCATGCACAAAAGGGAGAGGGATCATACAGCTTTCTTTGCTGTACACTAAATTAACCCAGCTCAGTTCCACATTCGATGTTTAGCCCTGTCCATCCCCCAATGGCATTATTTATAAAAGCTGAAGAACTCTGCAAAGCTACAAGAAGTTCATTTTTATACAGCCCCTGGAATATGTTTCTGGTTCCTGACACTGTGGTTCGATGTATTGGAATCCGCAGGGTTTTAACTACCTTAAGTTACCTCGATGACTGGCTGAAAATGTGTTTTACCAATTTCACTTAATGGAGAAAACAATTTCCTTCTTTTCTTTTTAATGAAAGTCTCTAGAAGCTTCTTTATTTAATAACCACAGTGACAGAGTCAGGCAGGTTGTTCTGGAGCTCTTGGGGTGAGGGAGCTGCGATAGTTAATTACTGTGTAGTTATCTGCCACTTCCACAGCAAAAATACAACAAAACAGTCAAAAGTAGCAGATTCGAATGGCAAGCACTCAATCTGAAAATTTCATATAGCTACTACTGAAATAGAGTGACATTTCATTTGACTGAGGTTTTTTACTTTTAAAAATATACCCATGAGGAACTGTTAAAGAAAAGTGGATATATCTCTCAGACAAACTAGCTAAAGGTTAATAGTACTACCTCCCTACGATCTGCTCTTTTTTTATAATTAGCACTGTAACTTGCTTTAATACATTATTAAGCAACCAGAATGTACCCAATGGTATTTCCTCCATCACCAGAAAATGTCCATATAAATAAGGAAAGAATGCTTTAGCATAGTGTAAAAATAATAAATACAGATAACTACTACTATTCCACTTCCGAATTTGCTCTGTACTGACGAAAGTTTTCTTTAAGTTCCCAATTTCTAACAGCTTTATTATGTCAGGCTAGTAGGCAGCCATGAGAAGTACCTGGATGGAGCATTTCCATCAGTGACCCCTCTTAGGTGGCAGCAAACTAGCCAGAGCGGAAACATAGAGGACAAGCTGGGTATTGGTGTCCTCAGAGGTCCACACTCTGTTCTTCTCAAACACAATCAAGCATGGAGTTCCAGAAGGGTCCTTGGGCTACAGGTCAAAAACTGTATTTTAGAGCACACTCTGTCCCTCATTAGATGCATGACCTTGATCTCCATGTTGTCACCTGGATCAAAATGAAGACAATGACAGGACCTGTCCGGGGTACCAAACTACAAAACCGCCTGCAGGAGCAACAGGCCAGGGTGTTCTGTAATCGCAAACATGCTCTTCGAGTGTAGTGTTGCAATCAGAGTTTTCTTCGCTCGTCTGGAGGAGGATGGGGGATTTCAGTCAAGAAAAGAGATAGTTCTTGTGTGTTCTGGCTTAGGTAAGAACAAAGCCAGTTTTCAATCCTTTCTGACCTAATGTTCGTTCTAGTTTTGTGAGTGGGAGAAGTCACACCCACCCGCCTCCTCCTTCACCGTTCTTTTAAGCCGTGAGTTCACCTGGATAACAGGTCTAGACGGGTTGTCTATCCGGGGCCCAGGTTTCTTGTGATTCTGAAGTTGGAAGAAACCAAAAGGCCTGAAAAGAACCCGCATAGGAAACGTCCCCACATGTCTTCTGAAGCTACTAGGTCAGGGCAGACTCCAACTTCTAACTGCATGGTCCTGGTGGAAGACACTGTCACGGCTCAGTCAGCTGAGCTCAGGCTATCAGAAACATCTACGTGAGCCAACATCCTATCAAGCACATTTGTTCTTTCCCAAGACGGTGAAGCTCGGGCTTTCCCAGGATCACGGAAATAGCTACAGGAGGCAACACTGTCTCAAGAACATTTGTTCTTTCCCACGATGGGTTATGGGTTCTGACCACAGTTGGCTTCGGTTCCCTCTCCTCCCACCCTTCCTACACCTTGTCTGATGCTTGAACCTCGCCGCGGCTGGCTTTCAGCTTCACAGTTCGTGGAAAACTATTTCAAAAGCAGAGAGGAGGGCAACAATGAAATGACCTTCACTTTCACTTTTAAAATGCCTATTCCTGTTTTAAAATTTAAATTTGCTATGAAGTTTGCATTTGCCTTCTACCTGGGCAGTCAGAGAGTAACAGTAGAAGGTTTTCCACCTTTTGCTTCCTCTCCCGTTTCTTTTGTAAATCATAAAAAGTAAAGAAAAGAGAAACTGACAAGTTGATGAAAAGAAGGACTATGCTGGATCCAAACAGGGGGCAATGAACATACTTGTTAGGCAAATGGTGCTAGGAAAGACCAACGTTACGGGGTCCCTAATGCAGTAGCACTGTTCACGGTAACCAGGGAAGAGGAGGGTGCTGATACGTAGACCTGCACAGTGTGGGAGCAGGCAGGGTTCTCTGAAAGGAGTCTGCTCTATTAGCTCGCATTCGTACACTGCTTTGTAATTCAAGGCTTTTCTTATATTCTCCTTCATAGCCTTGACTGCGAATTCACAGCTCCTTGTCACACGCCCTCAGCTTCTGGCTAGAGTGTGCGTGACCCGTGGGTCCCACGAACGGTCAGGACAGCGGCAGGATTGGAATTCAAGGTTGTCGTCTGGCTCACATGCCCTGAGATGCTTTTCTGGTGGCGGAAAATGTGTATCACATTTCATGTCACACATTATAGAAAAAGAACATGTTTGACTCTGAGCTGAGCTTGGGTAGAGAAGGGGGCCTTCAAAGCCAAGTTACAGTGCCCTTTCCTATCAGATTCTGTGAGAATCCAGAAAAGAAATCCTCCTAACAGGGCCAGAAACCTCCCATAGGGCAGGCACAGGTCAGGCCGTCAGCCTCCTAATGACCTACAGGGGATGAATAAAATTTACCCCTGAAAACTTTATTAAAGTGAAATACACATTGCCATTATTGAATAAATACTTGCCACTGTTTTTAACACACCCCTGCCATTGCCCTTGCCCCTTTCTGAAGCAGTTCTGGGAGTCTTCTTTTGTGAATGTCTTTATGAGGTGTGATAAAAAATACAGTGAGTGAAAATAAGCACCATGATTGACGAAGGTACAAATTTCCGACAGTGAATGTCACTATATGGCATACGTTAAATGAACCAATAAAATTAATTTTAAGAGAACACGGTGAACGCTACTGCTGAGCGCCATCCAAAGGAAAGGCAGGTTCCTAAAACCATCCTGTGTGTCCTTAGCCGCATCCTTCACTACATTGGGCACCACGAGGCTGCTGGCTCGTCCCCGAAGTCCATGAAAGGTCCATGTTTTGAACTGATACAGGACATCAAGGCAGCCAGGACAGCACAACTAAAGACCCCCAGAGGAGGACTCGCGGAAGCCCTTCAGCAAGTGGCAAGAAAACGGGATAAGCAAGAAGTGTTTCAAGGGGGATTGATGACCATATGTATTGCACCGTAAAGCGTTTTCTGTAAAATCTACACATGCTCCGTATGTTTCGATCACTCTTCACATACCCTGGCAAGACTCTATCTGTCGTGTCTGGGAGGTTCCGGGCAGTGGCTGTTCTTCTATTGGGCTGCGCTTCTCAAACTCATCGCGGACCCCGACCCGCTCTCAGGCACCTGTCTGCACCTGGCCAGCAGGTGTGGCCGAGGCTGGGGCTTGGGCAGGAGGAGGCTGCTGGCTTCCGCCTCCTGCACCCCTTGCGGGAGCCCCTGTGCGGGCCGCGCCTACCTGCTCGTACTTCTCCAGCTCCG